ACACACCTGATTCAACTCTGCAGTTAATTGCCAGATTTAATAGGTTCAGGCCCAGATAATCAAGTTATTGGCCCCTGGGGACAAATGTTTGGAGGGCCCCCACCTGGCTACTGTTTTTGGGTCGTCTGTGAATTTGTTATGAAATCACAGCAAGTTAAACAAGGCCTAAACACCACCACTATGGCACTAACCACAGTGTTGAGCACATATTTTTCCAATCGAGACAAAACAGTAGCAAGATTACTTACACATTAATCAAAAAATAGGTTAACATAAATCCAACAACCATTGCAACACTTCCCTATAAAGCATGCATCCATTCTTGACCAGCAAAATATTTACCTCAATGAAGAAGACATTAATTAAAAATGGACAGCTGAAATGTACATAAAGACAGAAAAAGCTTAAAAACTTAAAAACCCAAACTGTCAAGCAGTCTAGCTAAAGCATACGGCCGCAGCAGGTGTGAAAATGTTTGTTTGTTTGTTTGTTTTTATTTATATCTTACCTCTGATGACGCAGATCACTGCTGAAAGGACAAACGTTTTAACTTAGGTGGTAGACATTTTATAGGTTGCTTTCAAAATAGACATCTTCTACTCAGTCAAAATTTCAGGTCTTGCTTTTACAGATCCCTCATCTTTTCTTGAATATTTTGAGCTTTATACTCAATGTAATTTCATAGGGATGCTAGCTCAATGCTAAAAACCTGAAAGCGTGAGCAAGATAATGAAGAATGATGTAACAGTCACTAAGCAGTGAGTGGAGGAGAAAAATGAACTAACTTTTAGGATGGATGAAGAGCGTCAGGATTATGACATAAAATTACACCATGTCCTAACAGCAAACTGGCATTCGAATATAGTGTCACATCATGTGGCAAGGCCCGCAGGATGTCTACACTGGAACCGGAAACGTCAAGTGTGTGATAAGTCAAAACGTAAACAAACCAGAGCTGGTTTATGAGGTGCCTGGCCACTTCCTATTTCCCCCGTTATATCAAAAACAAGACTTCAAAATGCCAGAGGGCGCCTGCGAGTGAGTCCTCAATGAATGGGGGGAATGGAGCTCAATGGCTAAAAACAAAAAGGTAAAACAGATTTAAATCTCTTCCCAGAATTGTCTTTTTATTTTAGAAAGTATGCATTTCACTAAAAAAACAAAGAAAACCTACTTATATATTTCATTTTTTCTACTGCAAATGGGTTTTGGGTATTACTGCTACTGAGTTCTGATTGGTTGGCAAGCAATTCATGTACATAAATGTACATGAGGCACCGTTTTAAACTCCTATAACTCGAGTGCAAAAGCTCTTAAAATATAACAGTAAGGTTAAATGTATTCTTTTATATTAAAATGTTTAAGCATTTATAAATTATAATTTTGCTCAAATGCTCCATCTTAACCCATTCATTTTGGACTCGCTCAGGAGCGCCCTCTTGCGTTGGAGAAACCCAGAAGACATTACAGAATGGTAATTCTCCTCTCTACAAGTTCTCTGAACAAACCACAGATCTCTCAAAAAAAAAGCTGCTTTACAGAGCTGTCAGCTATAATTTGGGGCATCTAATTAATACAGTTTGTAACGGGTTACATTTAATCCCTACATTTAACATCAATATTCTAAATTACCTAGTTTACACATACATATACTGATCACAATGGGAAAGTTTTGGTTTTTTTGTTCTTGCACACATCACTTGATGTTAGGACATGGTGTTAGTTCATATTCACCGCTGTTCCCACCGCAAGTTAATACAGCTGTTTAGACTTCCTCATAATTGCTCTCGGAGGACCCTTAGTGGCTCGGGCTCCTGTGCACACGCCTATAAATCCAACTGAATTATCCGTACCTGAATAGGTGTGTTTGAGCTGGGAAACCACCAAACTGTGCTGGATACTGACCCCCCAGGACTGGAATTGATGACCCCTGGTATACATGATGGCCTAACTACGGAGGTACCTATTCTTTGGCTTTTCTATTTATTTCCAGCAGACAGCATGAACAGAGCGTGGACCATAATCAGATCCTACCCTTACATCAGCAATGTGGTGGGCTACACAACCCTGTTTGCCAGTGCAGACTTCATTCAGCAAAGCATGCTGGGAGGTGCACAGGGCAGAAATGTTCAGCTCAGTGAGGAAGCTTCTGAACAGCAGGCATCAGTCACAGACAGGGAGGACGTCACAGTGGCTGGACAATCAGAGAAAGCTCACCTCAAAGGGTCTGAAAGCAGCAAGTATACTTCAGAAGAAAAGCAGTCCTCAGTAAAAGAGAAAAGCATTCATAGCATTGACTGGGCCCAGACTGCTCGAGTGGCACTGGTTGGGTTGTGTTTCCATTCCAACTTCAACTACCACTGGCTGCGTGCGCTAGAGAGGATGTTTCCTGGAGGAGGTACCAAAAGAATATCTGTGAAAGTGTTTCTGGATCAACTCATAGCTGCTCCGGTCACAATAAGTGCCTTCTACATAGGTGAGAATGTCATTTTGCTAACTCTAAGAACACTCTTAAAAATAAAATTCCAAAATGGTTCTATGGAGTGATGCCATAGAACCACTTTTATGGTTCTTTAAAGAACTGTTTTTGTAAATCTGATGTGTAAGTGTGAAGAACCTTATTTAAGCTTAAAATACTTTCTCAATACAATACCATACAGTTGTATGTAAAAGTTGCGTGTGTAATCAGAGTGTTTTACTTATTATCTAATCTGTTATCTAATAGGGCTGAGCACATTAGAGAGGCAACAGGATCTCTTTGAAGACTGGAAAAAGAAATTCTGGACTTCCTATAAGGTGAGTGACTATATTATGTACAGTCTATGGTTTGCTTTATGGAAATGTACTCAGCATGACTTCTGTAACTTCCCTCATCATCACTGGTTAATCATCTGATTGTCTCTCCGGCAGACTGGTATAGTGTACTGGTCCGCAATGCAGGTACGACTGCCCTTATGTATTCATCCATTCATCTATCTATACTTAAAATTCAGATATGACAGCATATTTTCCGCTTTATCTGTTACAGGCAGTGAATTTCTCTCTGGTCCCCCCAGTGGCACGCACTGTGTTTGTTGGAGGAATCTCCCTCGGCTGGACTGTTTTTCTGTGTCATTTTAGACAGCAGAGCAATGAATCTCTCACACACTCTTTAACCAGGAGGACCACCTAAAATCCATTAAATACATACATCCATAAAATAAACACTCTTTGCTTCTTTTCATTTTTGGCCTGTCTGTCTGACTTCATGCAGATAAGTTACAATGAATATTGTACTGGTTTTGTGGGTCTAATAAAATAAAAACTTGCTAATTTTATAATATTAAGTTTATTAGACTGTAGCAACAAATATATATGGCAGGGTATATTATACACACTGGTATATTTTTAATATATTTTATAAATTTATTATAGTATTTGCAGCAATAAAAACAAATATTTAACTTACACACACGTATGATTATTCCAACAAAATTAAAGCTTATTTGGAAAAAGAATACATATTTAGTAATTTATAATAATTTATATTTAGTTTTTCTACATTATTATTAGTATTACTTTTTTTTTTTTTTTAAGACTGATGTTGTTTCCTTATATTTCAGATATAGCTCCAACACCAAATAGATCTAAATAGGTGGTTTTGTACAATAATTTGACAAACACCGCTTATCGTGTTACTAAACAACGCGGTTTATGGAGACATAACGAACCGCGTGTAAAACCAAGTTTGAGCCACCAGATGTCACTGTGGTGCGTTTCAAATGCTTGGAAAGACTGAATCGTTTTCTAATGTGCTTTTTCCATTTACAGCGCTTTGGCGGAGTTATAATACAACCCACACACAAATACAGCATCCTAATATAAACAATATGTTGCAGATACAAAAAAATACAAATCAAACTTAATTTTTCAAAAGATATTCTTCTGGTTAAAGCTCTTTGCTCTCACTTCACTCCTTGTCAGCAAGTCAAAATAAATGGAGGCAGAAGTCCAGGTTGTTACGCACTGGTTGAACGACCATAGTGCTACCAGAGATTTTGGTGCTGCTTCAGTTTAATTCGTAACCTGTGCGAATTACCCAACTGGAACTATACATGAATAACTATACCCGAACAAATTAGTTGAACCCCACAAATTGTGAATATGTGGCACTGAAGGGGAATTCCACCAATTTTTCAAATTTGAATAAAACGTACAGATTCAGATTTCTTTACAGTGGTGATGATAGGAATCAATGGTCACAATGTCAACAACATGAATACAGCCAATTTATTATATATTTAACTGTATCCAAAACCACTAGTGAGTCTACACGTGCCTTCTGAATTTTGGGTAATGTTCATGATGGTAAAATAGTCATCTGAAAAACGTAAATTTTCTTCGGGGACCTCACAAAGCTCGGCATGCATGTACACCCCCGGATTAAAATAAATGGATTAAGATACATTTTAAACCAAACATTAAGCGCAAAACTATCATAGAACAATACATCAGACATGATATCTAACCATTTCATGTAACTTTCTATCAGGGACATTTTAGAAGCATTAAACTCATTAGACTTTTCTTTCCACCACAGTGAACAAATCTGACTCGACAAGTTTCTCTAGAATGGGGCATTCACACCATACCACTCTGAACGATTATGTTTACAACTCAACCTTTTAATTATGTTTAATTTGAACAAATAAAAAACGTAGAATTTGAAAAATCGGTGGAGTTCCCCTTTGACAACCTAAAATAAATGCGCTGCAGTTGTCCTTTACTGGTTGTTCTGTCCATCTTTCTAACAGAATTTACACTCGTTGTTTACTGCAAGCTAATAACTACTATTAAAATATTACAGAAATATTAGTCTGAAATTCACGCTGTTTCTCTGGTGTAACCAGACCCATGTAGAGCCTACATGGCAACCAAGTCACGGCTCAGCTTTGACCAATCACAGAAGCGAGCTGCGGTCACATGCTCCTTAGCGCCTGCGTCTTCACGTTGAACACTTTATCGCGAGATTTTGCTCCTTCCTTTTCCCTTTTCCCTCTGAATCTAAAATGGTAGGTACGAGCTCCTGGCTTTGGATTCTGTGTACTTCTAAAATCTGCATCCATCCTCAACTCTCAGTGCTGTTATATCACGAAGCAATTCTTAAGTGAACTCCATATAATGTCATTGTTAAGTTGTTGTCCAAATTTATAGTGGTTTCATAGTTATAACACTGAAACGCTAACTTGCACTTGAAGCAAGCGGCCCTGGTTTAGCCGTGGCGATTCCTGACCGCTGCCTGTTAGCAGTTGTTTTAATGCCGTGTAGTTGCAGAAACCTTAGAATGTTCCTTTAATAAAGTTGTTAAAAAGGGGGCAAAACTAAAAACAATTGGAACGGAAATTTACGGCGTAGTCGTGTGTTAACCTGAGCTACTGCTAGCGAGCTAATGTTACCGGCCTGAACAGTCAGCTGCATCAACGTGGACTTCTACACATGTGAGTGATGTTAAGGTAACGTTAGAGAGTTTCCAGGCGTTGTGGTGTGTAATGTATTTTTCTTTTCTGAAGAATGACTGAAAATCTACCGGAACCGCTTTTTGAATGTGCATCATGGTTCTTGTGCTCTGGTCTTATTTAGCTAGCTAACTGGTTATTAAAGCTGCTAGCTAGCTGTATGTAGTTAGCGGTAGCTAACGTCAGTCAAACTAATAGGCTCTTGAAATAGTAGTGGAGTCTAATGTGAACATGGGTTGATTGCGATCAGAGGAATTCCCTTTACTCTAAATGTTGTACAAACAAGTTGGTCAGTTAACGTAGCATCTGAGAACACCATCAGTTCTGTGTATGTTGGTACTTTGAATTTCCATGTCCATTTTAATATGATTGAGCCAGCAAATAAGAAGCTTGTTAATTCATCAATCAGCTGAATTGGTTGTGCTACTTGCGAGAAGGCACAAAAACGTACATAGTGTAGGGTCATCAGGACTAATTTGGGATGGATTATTTGATAATGCTGTACACTCTTGCAGGGAGTCGACATCAGACACAACAAGGACCGCAAGGTTCACAGGAAGGAGCCCAAAAGCCAGGATATCTACCTGAGACTCCTGGTCAAGGTGAGTCCTCCGAGAACCGCTTTGATTGTATTGTGAAGAAGGTTGTGATTTCCCTTAAGTGTTCTTTCATGGTTTGTGTGCTAAAACGTTTGGTCTCTGACAGTTGTACAGGTTCCTGGCTCGCCGTTCTGATGCTCCCTTCAACAGGGTCATCCTTAAGAGGCTCTTCATGAGCAAGACCAACCGCCCACCTCTGGCCCTCTCTCGCTTGGTTAGTCTTCTCTTTGTATTTTTTACTCTGTAGCTGTGTAGTTCACCAAGGTTATCTCTATGCTGTATGGTTCTCTTAAATCAGTGGTTCATAACCCTGGTTGTGGAGCATCCCAGCCTGCTTGTGTTACTACTTTCTCTGCTCTAACACACCTGCTTCATCTTAGGAGCTTGTTAAGTTGGATCAGGTGTGTTGGTGCAGAGAAAACATCAAACAGGGTACTTCAGGACCAATGTGGGAGCCTCGGTCTTGGATCTGTCTGCCTCTTGTGCTTGATTCACATTTTTCTGCAACTATTTAAAACAATGCTATACCAGGTTTTAACCCAACACTTTATAGCGGGGTGGGGAACTCTTGTCCTGAAAGGCCTGATTCCTGCACAGTTTGATGATTCTTCTACTGAAGCACACATGAATAAACTTGAGTTAGATCACCAAACTGCAAGACTCCAGCCCTCAGTTCTCCACTCTTGCTCTATAGTATCAACAAAGTGTGCATACAGATGTTTGTATTTTGGGATGTTTGTTACTGTAACTGACATTTCTTTTAACGTATTTGACTCTTTTGCACTGTAATGCTTAATACTAACGTGCTTAAACTGAAATGCATCACTTTGTGCTTCTTGATTGGGACAGTTTGTTGTCTTTCATTCAGATTTAAGGGGGGATTTCCACCATTAAAAAAAAATCAGCACAATTCAGTTAAGAGGGGGCCTAGATTATGAAACGTAATTAGTATAATTCTAAATTTGTTCTTAAGGTCGCAGCACTTGCATACAGTTGATCTAAAAAAAATTGTTTACAAATCATGTAACCTAACACCTGTAGCGCACACACACTGCTGTTCGTATGTCAGGTTGGAAACTTGCATTCATCTACGCACGTTTAGGCCCCAGGGATCATGTCAACAACAAATGTAACTTTAGGTACTATCCAGAAATACTAGTCGACCTACGTGTTTTGATGGTTTTATACATAACGGTAAAATGTGGGGTTTCCTTGAGTATTATTTCACCTTAAATAAAATCTTTCCCTTTAGCATACCTCTTTAACACATTTTGTACCAAATCCTCATTGCATGGCTATTGTAAAAAAAAAATCTCTGGCATCTGGCAGCATATTTAGAATTATTTCATAACTTTTAAGTTGGTTTTTAAAAGCATTAAATGTTTTGGGTGTGTAATCAGCATCTCTGACGCATTGTTCGTCTTAATTCCCCCCTTAATATTGAGTGAGTTTTAGAGAAGGAAAAGAGAAGTTGCTCGGTCTGTTGTGCACCTAAGACATGAACAAGCCATTCATGTTTTGCAAGTGAACTGGGAAACATGATACAGAAGAATTGTTATTTGTGAGTGTTTTTTTTTCTTTGTGAAATGAATGGTTATCAGGATAATGCCTGAACAAAACAGATTAAGATGGAAGTATCAGAGCTTTGTGTTGAAGTATGTCAAGGGTTGCTTTAAAAACATTTGAAATATGTTTGGTTAATATTATGTGTTATACTGTACACTGAATCTTTTGTTCTTAACTTTCTGCCCAGTTCTGCCATCTATATATTTACTTTTGAGAGCTGGCTTAAATGGCCTATTCTGAGGCCTCACTTTACAAACTAATTGAGTTTGGAAGTTGGTTGTTCGCCCATGCAGATAATTTTGAAGGGTTTTCTTCCTTTATGCACTCCACCTAGATCCGCAAGATGAAGCTTCCAGGCCGTGAGAACCAGACAGCCGTTGTTGTGGGAACCGTGACTGATGACGTCAGGATTCAGGATGTCCCCAAACTGAAGGTAAGTGGTTTTTGGCTGTTCATTGGGAAGCCAGTCTTTATGCTACTTTGAAGACATAACAACTGAACAGCTCTTGTTCTTGGATATGGTTTGGAATTTTTTTGTTTGTTCTGCTAATTAGTTTATGTAATGTGCTACTTAGTGTAACTACTTAGGGGGCTCTTGGAACTGCAAAAAAGATGCTGTTTGTTGGGTAAGCCTACATGAGATGGGCTAGCCAAGTTATTGGAAATGGCAAGTGGAGAGAGCAAGCTTGAGCTGGAACAAGCAGAATCAAGCAAATCATCCTCCTGTTTGGGAACACTTTGGCTTCCCAGTTGAGTATGAAGGGCAAAGTTGTGCTGATATCTCAGATATTCTAACTCATTTGTGAAGACCTCACCTAAATGTGTCAGTTATCAGAGCAAGGAGAACATATGAGGCGCAGCAGCCTTTTCTCTACTCTGCATGTAGATTTTTTTGGGCAGTCGTGGGCTGGAGGTTAGGGAACCAGCCTTGTGACCATGACCAGAAGGTCGCCGGTTCAACTCCCCTGAGCTGACAGTATGTGATTTGAATTGCCGATGAGCAGGGTACCTAACCCCCAACTGCTCCCTGTGCACTGTGGACAGCACTGCCCACTGCTCCAGGCACTGGTGTGCATATGGGTGTTTCAGTGCATGGATGGGTTACTCGGTTGTAGGCTTTTTATATTCTGTAGTTGGAAGTGATTGAGCAGAGTTAGAAAACACTGTCATGCTCATTTCAGCCAGAAGAGCCCCACCACTATATAGATACCAAGGTCCAATAGTAAGTGAACCTAGTAATGCAGTTTGTTTTCATATGTAGCCTTATAGCCTACAAATAGTTTACTTGTATTTTTTAGCCATAAGAAGAGTTTGCTGAACACACAACATGTGCAACATGTAGTAGACCTTGCAATTTTATTTTTTACGTTTATTTTGTGTTCTAGAAAATGACTTGTGCCATTTATCCCTTCAGCAGGCACAGGTGCTTTTGAGACAACTTTGGAATTACCAAAAAATGTTTTGGGAATTACCAAAAAAAGTTAGCATTTCTTTTCTGTGTATTGTATCGTGATTCAAAAGCAACCGTATGTATTGCATCGTAAAATTTGTTGTGAAACCCCTGCTTGTTATTGATCACTTATTGGTTTAGTTTGTTAAGCATTGTTAGATTTGTGTTCCAAAACCAAAATGAACTTGAATGTGTAGTTATTAGGCTAAAAGGTAATGGCCACTTAAATTTGTGAGAGAGAGGTTATGGGTTAAATTAATAATGTAAGCAAGTAGTTTTGCAGTTAGCGTTATGCAGATGTAGGCAAGCATGTTGCATCATATTTTACTTGTCATTTTTATATTTTTGTGAAAGTTATACTTTTTACGCTCATTGGGGATCGTGCTTGCATAGGTTTAGTATGAAAGTTGTTGTTTAGGATATTTGTCTATTTAGAAACAAGGGAATAGAGCTTCAAGTTGATGTGGGTAATGACCATCTCTTCTTTCTCCAGGTGTGTGCTTTGAAGGTGACTTCTGGAGCCCGTCGCAGAATTCTCAAGGCTGGTGGTCAGGTCATGACCTTCGATCAGTTGGCCCTGGCTGCCCCTAAAGGTCAAGGCACTGTGCTGCTGTCAGGTAATGTAGAAAACTTGGTCAAACCTTGAAATTTACTCCAGCATGTGGACGTAACATGTAATTTTAAGTGATAAAATGATCTAGATTCCCTTTTCTTTTTTATATTTTCCTTAATAAAGATTAGTTTGTTATTAAACATGTTCTGTTGTAAAAAGACAGGTTGCACACATTACTGCGTGTTGCATGATAGACAGTGTAAAGACAGCACAAAAGCCAGCCAGGATACATATTGCTAGATTGCACACCCAGTTGGAGGAATTGTTGCAATATGGCCATGAATTGTTACAGGAGTATGACAAAGGCAAACCTGATTTTATATTCCATGTTGATCTGAAATATTGTTCAGACTTAAAATTGAGGGTAATGACACGTAATTATGAATAATTATTTATATTGAGTGGATAAGGTAAAAATATTTTTAGATTGATACTGATGGTTTTAATCATAATGTTTGCTGAAACATGGTTCTTCACTGGTTGACCATAAATCACTTAATGCTTTTCTGTTAACTAGTAAATAACTCTATAACTTACTTTTATTAAGCTGCATGCTATTTTTTGTGTATCTAAAGGACCCCGCAAGGCCAGAGAGGTGTACAGACACTTTGGAAAGGCCCCAGGAACCCCCCACAGCCACACCAAGTAAGAACATGCCTGTTTTTACAATTTAACCAGCAGTTTCAGTCTTAAGTTGTGCATGAGAGACTCTAATTGCTACAAAACGAAAAGCTAGAACTCTTAATGAGTCAACTTCATCATGCAGTAACAAAACGTATGATGCCTTCAGATTTTCCATTCAAAGTTTGAAGATAAAGAGCCAGATTAGCAATTTGTTACTAGTTACTTGAGCTCCTTTTTCACTTTAATGAGAACTGAAGCTGCTATGCTACATACTGTGCCTATGCTTGAGTGTGGCTTAATTGGATTCTGTCCTCTCCGCAGGCCCTATGTGCGTTCCAAAGGCAGGAAGTTCGAGCGTGCCCGTGGACGCAGAGCCAGCCGTGGTTACAAGAACTAAAGCTGTGTTTCTGTTTTGTATTGGTCAGTCTGACGCAAATAAAGATTGGCTATTAAAAATCAGAACTTTTGTGATTCTTTATTATTGTTTTACTGTATAATTTGGATCACAGAGCAAATGTAGGAATTGTCTCTTCTTTAGCATGTTAGTCCCATGTTACCACATGGGTTTTTTGTTGACTTTGATGTTCTCACACTGTATTCTCTAAGCTAATTGTGCGGTGAGATTTTCTAGAGCTGATAAGTCACTTTTCGCTTGATTGGCTGCCATTAATTTTCCTGTCCTATTTAAATTGTTTACCCCATGAGTTTTAAAATGACAAATGATGCCATATGAAACGTTGCCGAATAAGAGTTAACACTGCAGTCTTGGAGAAATTTTGAGGTGGTCCTGGGACAACGTTCAAAATTATTCAAATTATGCATTGGTGCTTTGTTCTTATGCTCTACATCCTTAGTTGGGGCGCATGTTGTGCAAGTTCTTATGTCTTGCAAATGGTTTCGTAGAAGCTGTCAGTGCTACGTGCAACTGATGTGTTTAATCAGACGTCATGCCCTACCACATTAAATGGAAAAAAAAGATGGTTGATATTTAGAGGGAGTGCTGTTTTTTTGTTTTTTTTTTTTTTTTTTTAATGTTACTGTTCTACAGTATCTTCTCACAGCTGAGTTTCAGTATTAATATAACAAGCAAAAGAACTGAGCTGACGTCAGTGGAAATTTACTAGAAGCTTAAAGCAGACAGTGCTATTTATGATGGGTTGATGTTCTCAGTTTGATTGTCTTTGGAAATATAATAGGGTGCAGCTCTTAATAAAAGCCACAACTTTTTCCAAAACATTTAGTTAGCACCTGCTCTGACATCAGGTCTCAGGTGTATATGTGTGTGTGTGTGTGTGTGTGTGTGTATGTATGTACACATGTATACACACACGTATATAAATGGTATATAAATGCATAATGCTGTGACACTGGGGAAAAGCTATGCGTGCCACACAGGTTAGTTTTAGTTAGATTTTTTTGCAACTTAAATCTTTAGGATTGTCCATATTACTGCATTTCATACATGTTATTTAATTCTGCCACAAATCTAAAATTGTTCACTTGTAATTTTGAATATACTCAGGCAGTCAGATTTTCACCATATAGAAAAAAAGACCATATATACATACATATATAAATGATGAGGAGACTGAACATATGCTGCTTGTGCCACTGAATGTTGAGAGTCTTTCCAATGATATTAGCCTGTCTTAGTCAACAGCCACTTTTAAGAGACACATTTTAACTCTAGCTCTTATGAGTTCCGTTCGTATTCAGGTTATTTTAATGTGTGTCTTATTGTGTGTTTTTTTTTCTGGTTTCTATGTTTTAGTGTATCTCTAATGTGCCTTTTTTCTTTTAACTGATTTATTTGATCATGAAACACGATAATTTTGCTTTAGGAAAGTGCTTTTTAAATAAATTGTACTTATTTGCAAATATTTCCTTAAAATCATATGACATGATTTGCACCACACACACACACACACACATTTACTAAGCTGTTTAAATCTTGAGAGAGGCTCATGGTTTAGGTCTGACTAGATGACATAAATCATTAGCAGTGTCAGTCACTTATGTCAGTGGAATAAGTGTAGTTGAAAAATACAGTTTCCACTGTACTGTTCAGTATTTTTCAGTGTGAGAAGGTTTTGGTGATTTGAAATTTATGGTGAAGCACCTGGTTCCTTCTTACTCAAATGAACCAGTGATTGAACTGAGCCACTTTTCCCATGATACATATGTGTATGATATGCCTCCATGGTCCAGAAAATCGTCATTTCAGGAATCGTGACTGAATTTATCTGTGTATAATGGGTTTACAGATTTATGTAGAGAGTTATTTATTTAAATGTGGGTAGGAGACGAGAGAATCTGTGAGTTTAGCTCTACTGAGTGACCCTGCACATGACTGATGGTTTATTGCAAATTCAAATGTAAGTTCACCTGGTTTTATGGCCAAATGCACAACTGCACAATTGCTATTCCCAACAAGCACAGCACAGCCTGGGTTCAGACCTGATTACTAAGTGAATGATGCACATCTGCTCTGCTTATCAGAACAGTGTTATTAGTTGCACTGTACTGTTCTGGAAATCTACTACCTATAAACCTACCTATAAATCTACTCTGACCTGTATTTGAATGAAAACAGAACAAGGTTATCTTTTTTTATTTATGTTTTGGTAAATATACACTAAATATACTCATTCATAAATGGAAACCCATAACACATTTTGAAAAAGTTGGGACAGGGGCAATTTAAGACTGCAAACATAGTAAATTTTTTCTAAAAAACATGTAATGCAATCATGCTTTTGTATAAGAGTCATCCAGGAAAGGCCTAGTCCTTTATAAGCAAGGATGGTCAGGGCTCGCCACTTTGACAAAAATGCTTCAGCAAAAAAATCCAACAGTTTAATAATAACAGGTTTTTAGGTATTTCATCGTCTACAGTGCATAATGACTTCAAAATCTCTGTGTGTAAAGAGCAAGGCCAAAAATGACCATTGAATGCCCGTGACCTTCCACCCTGCAGACGGCACTGCATTAAAAACTGGCATGTTTCTGCATTACCACATGGGCTTAGGAATGCATTGACAAACCATTATTAATAAACACAGATCAACACTGCATTCACAAATGCAAGTTACGGCTGCCGACTTCTCTGGGCTCAAGCTCATCTCATCATGGTCTGACTATCAGTTTGTTTATGGAAATAATGGATGTCGTGTCATCCAGATTTTTTTGACCATTTCCAGTTTAATAGAGGTCAAAAGAATTTACAAATCACTACTTTCTCTTTTTATTAGCATTTCACCTATAAAATGTTGTTTTTATTAGCATTTCACATACAAAATGTTTTTTTAACCTTTCACATACAAAAAAGTCCCAACTTTTTTGGAATTGAGTTTTTACAAGGGTCATTGTCTGTGAGAAATTGAATAAAAGAGTCCCATATTGCCGTAAAACATACTGTCCGGTATTTCAACTCTTTATTCCTTTTACAAATGGTATATAAATGCATAATGCTGTGACACTGTGGGGAAAAGCTATTCGTGCCACACAGGTTAGTTTTAGTTAGATTTTTTTGTAACTTAAATCTTTAGGATTGTCCATATTACTGCATTTCATACATGTTATTTAATTCTGCCACAAATCTAAAATTGTTCACTTGTAATTTTGAATATACTCAGGCAGTCAGATTTTCACCATATAGAAAAAAAGACCATATATACATACATATATAAATGATGAGGAGACTGAACATATGCTGCTTGTGCCACTGAATGTTGAGAGTCTTTCCAATGATATTAGCCTGTCTTAGTCAACAGCCACTTTTAAGAGACACATTTTAACTCTAGCTCTTATGAGTTCTGTTCGTATTCAGGTTATTTTAATATGTGTCTTATTGTGTGTTTTTTTTTCTGGTTTCTATCTGGTTTATTTGATCATGAATCATATGACATGATTTGCACCACACACACACACACACACACACACACACACACACACACACACACATTTACTAAGCTGTTAAAATCTTGAGAGTGGCTCATGGTTTAGGTCTGACTAGATGACATAAATCATTAGCAGTGTCAGTCACTTATGTCAGTGGAAGAAGTGTAGTTGAAAAATACCGTTTCCACTGTACTGTTCAGTATTTTTCAGTGTGAGAAGGTTTTGGTGATTTGAAATTTATGGTGAAGCACCTGGTTCCTTCTTACTCAAATGAACCAGTGATAGAACTGAGCCACTTTTCTATAGCTTTTGCTGGTGTTTTGTGTGCACTGCTGAACTATAATTATGTAGTTCAGATTTTGTTTTTACAACTATAAGTATCTGCACTGAAAGATTTACAGTGGTTCTGAATGGCAGTACTGGAGAGCCCATTCTCTACACCTCCATCACCTCACTAACGGCCTGATAATTACAGCGTGTACAGTCTCCAGGGCTGGAGCTGAGAATCACTGGTTCAGTATATCAAAGCAACACTCAGTCCTGCAAACATTTATGTAGGCACCGAAAGTGAGAAAGGATTTTGCAACATGCCAAATTTAGCTTTGATGTTTGTCCGCAGACTTAAAGCTTATACAGGAGTATCTGCCACATGTAGGCTACTACTGTGGATTCCTGTATGAGAGCATCATTTTCAGGAAGAGTCAGCATTTGATCTTTGAGCCTGTGGTTTCAATTACAGTATTCAGAACATGATGCATTATTCAGTGTTGTGTGTCTGTGGAGCTGACATGAGTGCTGTTGTTGATGCATGAGGAAATTGGTCAGGCCTAGCACTGCTAATATGATTATTAGATTGTATATCACATTAATGTATACATAGTATATATGCACTAGTATATTTACTGTTTATATACCATACATTTATTGACTTTTCTTCCTCAGAAAATATTTATTTATCTACAATAGTAACGTGAAAGTAATATGACTATATTGCATACATGTATTTAATTGATTCCCAGTCAAAACAACTGTTCATTTTTAGTAACTAGTTTTACAAAGAAATCTGCTGCAGGGGTTTTTCATGCTTCTTAGTAACACCACTGAAGTTCAGTCTTAGAAGCTGATAGCATTTCTTGTTTCTCATAATCCAAGTAATCCTTATTCCAAATTTAGACACGAGTCCATGAAACCTCCACATCTCAGATTTGCACTTTGAGTTCTGTTTCTTTGCTCAGTAACAGCTTCTTGACAGCTACACATCCTTTCAGATATTGTTGAGTTGTTCTCTCACAGTGGAAGGATGCACAGAAACACCTGTGGATTTTTTCAGATCTGAAGCAAGAGTGAAGCTGGATTTTCTCCACTCTCAAAGATGAAAGCTTTAAGAACTGTTTATCGGATGGGTTGGTGGTCTGCCAGGTCTTGTGCAGGAGTTTTGGAATGAACAGTTTTTTCACTTATTTGCCTTTGACTTTGCTCTTTTTATGTAAATGGATTGTCTTATATCTAATCTCTGCAGAAATATCTCCTTTAAAAGCATCTGGACAATTTAATTGTTGGTC